GTTCAGGGTTCGGGGGTTTAGGGGTTTAGGGGTCTCCTTTCCACCCACTTTTTGTTGCTTCCTGCTTTCCTGTGTGTATCAGGTCATCTTTTCTGTTGCCGGGCAGGCAAGAGAAAGAACTTCATCTAAGCAGTTTTCTCAGAACTGTACCAAGAAGTCATAACGAGGAGCCCTAAAATGGTAGGTTCTTTGGGGTCCTAGACCCTAAACCCTAAACCCCTAAACCCTAAACCCTAAACCCTAAACCCCTAAACCCTAAACCCTAAACCCAACTTCTCAGAACTCTTTTTTCTGGAGCTTTTTAGAGATCCTCGGCCGCTCCCTGAGTCATGTGCACAGCCCTAGACGGAAGAGTTTCAACTGCCCTAAGCCCTGAACCCTCAGTTTTCTAAGCGGTTTAGGGTTTAGGGTTTAGGGTTTAGGGTTTAGGGTTGAAGAGTATCTTGGTTCCAAAAATAGCCAGGGTGAAGAGTATCTTGGTTCCCCAATAGCCAGGGTGAAGAGTATCTTGGTTCCCCAATACCCAACCTTTCAACTTTTTGGGTTCTTATAACTGAGTCGTAATGTGAAAGTTTAACCCTTTGTTGTCCTGGTTTATTGGGGAGTTAACTAAACCCTAAACCCTAAACCTTAAACCCTAAAGCCTAAACCCTCAACTGCGAAGCCCGTGCATAAGGTCTCACTGGAGTTTCATGGGACTTAGTAAGCCAGGTTAGAGGTATCTTACTTGGGGTTATACATAATTTCCAGTATGGCTGCCCTAGGTATAGCCTTCTTTAGTTTGAGAGTTTAGGGTTTAGGGTTTTAGGGTTGAGGGCTTTTCAGGTCTGCGGAATCGAGGGGCAGGCTGGACTTGGAGGATGCGATGATGGTGGATCCTTCGTGCATTGGTGGCCCTTGCGTTTCGCCCATCCGCGCGGGGCAGACGTTGCTGCAGAGGCCATCAAGCGGTCAATGTGCTTTTGAATGAAGAATGAAGAATCTTGGAGAAGGCAAAAACACGGAGGCGATGACAGGTGTTGAAGATGATGATGACGCGCAGCTGCCATATGCCTGTTGCGAGCCCTTTGTCATCAAGTTCGGAACGATGTGCTGGCGGTTCCTGCAGAAGCACTTTTTGCTCCGGACACTTCTACCCACGCAGTGCTGTAGACACATCGAACAGGCCCCGCGCACGTCATGAGGGTTTTTAGTTTGGGTTTAGGGTTTGGGGGCTGTTGGTTTGAGGTTTGAGCAGCTGTCACTCAGCAGATGACGCTGGGGGATCAATATGATACCAGTAACCGCGTTAAGACTGACTGTAACGGTATTTCGTGTTGTGGTGGCGCTGTTGACAACTGTCCTTGATGCTTGCAACTTGTCAGCCTGTCACCAAATTGCATGCCACTGTGGCATGAGAAGCAAGAAGTGTACCAGTTACCAGTGGTTGCCAGAGTGCTGGGCATATCACGAACAGCAATTGGTGAGAATGAACATCTTGCGACCGTCAAACTTTACCTGGATAATTTCACACACTCATAGGAGGCCAAATGTGGCTTTAGGGTTTTGGGGGCGATTCAGTCTTAGTAGGCCCATTATAGTCCTTAGATCATTCTCTTTCAAGCAATCAATACAATCCCCATCCCTTAAACCCTAAACCCTAAAGTCCCCAAGTCTTAACTTTTTCAGGTTCCTACCCTCTAAACCCTAAGCCCTATACCCTCTAAACCCTATACCCTAAACCCTCTAAACCCTAAACCCTAAGCCCTAAACCCCCCTAAGCCCCAAACCCTAAACCGTCATCATCCTAAACCCTAAACCCCCCTAAGCCC